ATATAATCCAATAATAAGACATTTCTTCCCATTCAATAATATTTCAATAAAAACATATCTTCCTTCTGGATCAGAGTCAATCAATTTAGGCAAAAACTCCTTCCTAACATAAATAACTACCCCGCCTCTTTTCTGAGGCGCAGGTGCCATAAAATGTATTCCCAACCGTGAGTTAATCAAATATTTTTGATCCTTTGCTGTAATATGAGTTTCTTGCAAACAAACAACATCATTTTTATGTTGCTTCAAATAATAAAATATCTTTTTTCTTTTCTGTGGAGAATTCAAACCATTAACATTCCATGTCAGGAACCTTGCCATCTTTAATGGCAGTGAGCCTCTGGAACGCTCCTTGTAAATCAGCTGTTACTGATCTCTTCGGCCTCGCTCCTCCCACTGGCTCTGAGATTACTTGCTGTACTGTAGGTACCACATCCACTTTTTGTTGCTCTCTTTCTTTCTATGAGCTGCGCGGGTCATTCTTTGTGATTTTGGGTCATCTTTAATTTCCATAAATTGTTGCTTGGCTTGATCTTGGTCTTGTAGATTAGTAATACTTGATGATGATATAGCTCCTTCAGCCACTTTATCTTCAAAGATTCTTTCCTTCCTGGTGCCTTATGGAGACGATGGTGAACCTGCTTTCAAAATTGAGATATAAAAATCCTTTGCCTTTGCAATTGTGTTGAGCCGATAACGTGTTTCCATGTAGTTGACCATTATACCAACAGGTATATCCCATCTAAATTGAATTTGTTGCTTTTTCAACTCTTCAGCCAGGAAGGCGAAATCCTTCCTTCTTCTAAGTATTTTGGGTGGTATTTCCTTTAAAATTATAACGTCTTGTCCTGAAATTTGAAATTTATACATTTTTAATGCAGTTCTATTATTGAAATCAAATAATTGGGCTCAATATTTTAAATTTAGCATTGGATTGCAATAATTCTTTTTATTATGTAAAGCATGAAATCACTTTTGGGAAACTTAAAAGAGCAGATTAGGAATAGATATAAATATATAAATATATAGAGAAAATCTCTATTTGGTTGCTAGAAGTTGAAAAATGACACGATGGCACATAATTAATTCATAATATACATCAGTCCATTTTTTTTATTTTATGCAAAATCCAGCTTTTTATCTAAAAATGTACTTTATTAATTTTTATTATCTTTATCTAAAGATCGTGAAATTATTGTTGACTTCTTTTTGCGTGACTTTTTCCTTGAAGGCCTACTGAACTCTTCAGGAGCTGCAATGCCCAGTCAGATCAAGGAGCTATGAATGATATGAAACTTTGGGAAAAAGGAAGCATTAAGATGCCTTTTATAAATATCCCTGTACTTGATATTAAAAAATGCCAACCGGAAATGTGGAAGGCAGTTGCTTGTTCACTGCAAATTAAACCTTGTCATAGTAAATCTAGAGGAAGTATTATTTGCAAGTAAGTAGATTTTTAGCATTTAATAGCTGCTTTCAGATATTTTTCTTAATGTTAAGACTAGATAGCAAAAGGGGTTCCATGTACTTTCATACTTTCAGTTGAAAAATGTAGAGGCAAGTATGCTAATATGTCATATCTCGTAAGAAGTCTGTACTCATCATCAGGCTAATGTAAGGGCAGCTGTCCTTCAGAATTTTCAGCTGATTGTGTGGAGATCTTGAGAGAGTGTTGGAGAAAGGCACTGTGTGCTTGTTCTTGATTCTATTTTTTTCTTTAAATATTTAGATGATAGCACGAAAGGAAAATTAAACGACAGTAGTATTGTAAAAATTGTATTTTCAGTAACAAAATGAAGAAAGTAGAAAGCAAAGCTGAGATTAGAACTAATTAGTGCATTTCCAACAAATAAAGCTTCAACATTTTGTTCTAGAACTGATCCAAAATTATTCTTAATTATTAAAGCATATTTTATTTATATTTAAATAAAAATATAAATTAATTTGCAATTGGTTTGCAAATATAGGATGGAGAGTTGAGCAAGTAGAAGAAAGTACAAAAGTAACGATGTGATATGTTTGGAAATTCAAACGATTGGTTTCAAATGTTTGTGCAAATCAGGGTTATCAAACCAAGTTCAGGTTTGACTTTCAGATAAGATGGCTACAAAATTACTTTTTTACAGATTTTTTAGTAAACTGTATAAACCTAATATATTATGTAATTGAATAGGGTCTAGTCGGGTTCTGCTGTGCAGATCTAAAACCTATGAAATTGTGGAGAGGAATAAGCCTGCAGACAGTCAAATAATGTTCTGTGCAATGTACATAAAATACTTTGGCTGAACTTCTACTCTGCTTAGTGGTGAATAATTTTTGGACAAATTCAAGAACTGCAAAGGTCTCATAATTTGAGAGTTCATCCAAGATGTTTTTAATTGGAAAAATATCAGTACAATAAGAACTGGCAGAATCTCTATATATTTGTATTCAGAATGAAGTTATTGGATCCCCCTGTCTCTATACTTTTTGCCACGAGGCAAGATGGGTGGCAAATAAATTTAATAAGTAAGTAAAATAATTTTAATGGAAGTCCCACATGCTATATACTGTAATTACACATATTATATAGGGCTATGCAAATCTCCAGAAAGAGGTGATTTGGAATACATGGAAAAGCCTACAAATTTGTTTCCTAACATTTAATTAATTGTGTCTTTTTTTCAGACTTGTATGGCAGCTATGGAAGGATTTTAAAAAATTGTGCGGTTCCATACATTCCAAAACATCTCTTTCATGTGCTTTACAGAGACCTAATGTTACATATGTAAGAATATACTGTATGTATAACACTTAGGTTCATTGATATTTGTTTTTAAAATTTATTTTTATATGTGCACCTGTGTGCTTTTCTTTTTAGTTTGAAATACTGTGCCATATATAATGTGCAAACATTTTGTTTTCTTGAAGGTCAGATTGTGTAGAAATTCTCAAAAAATGTGGAGACTTAAGCAAATTTCCTGAGGGACATATGGCTGAAAGCATCTGTGAACTTTTATCTCCAGCTGATGATTTGGAGACTTGCATACCTTTAGATACATACCTTCGTAAGTACTGGCTCATGGAACAGGCTCCATGAAACATTTAGAATTCAAAGCAGTTTATAGTATTTCTAGACTTGACTAAAAAACCAATGGGAGCAAAAGCCTTAGGATAATTATAATTGATAATTATTTTATTGTCATTCAATTTAATTACCTTTGTAATAGTGCCATTTTGTGATTCCAATATTGCTGGTTCTTCACAGTGGTCACATACATTGTTTTTTTAGCCTATGCAGAGCTCTGTTCTAACATCTTAAAAGTGGTATTTTAATTGACAGTCTTTCACCTTGTCTGTATTGTACTTTCTTTTAAGTATAGTCACCATAATTTGTTCCAATTTCTTTGTTACAGTGATACTATGATTGGTTCATTTTTCTGGAGCTTTTTTATGTTCCTTCTGTGTTTAGATTTTCTAGACCAGTGATGGCGAACCTTTTAGAGACCGAGTGCCCAAACTGCAACCCAAAACCAATTTATTTATTGCTGGGTGCTGGGTGGACACGGCTCACTGGGTGGGCGTGGCTGCAGTGGTCACGGCAGACTGGGTGGGCATGGATGGGGTGGGCGTGGCCACCTCGATGTTGTTCGTGGGGAGGGATGCCTGTGGGGTCTGGGCAGGGTTGGGGGAGATCCAGGTGGTCTCTGGTGGGTGGGGCGGTGGGTAGGAGGCTCATCCTGCGGGGTGAGGCAGGGGGCAGGGCAGGGGTTAGGGCAGTGGTTCTCAACCTTTTTAATGCCGCGACCCCAATCGGTCGTAAGTCGAGGACTAAACCGGTCGTAAGTCGAGGACTAAACCGGTCGTAAGTCGAGGACTAGACCAGTCGTAAGTCGAGGACTACCCAACCGGTCGTACGTCGAGGACTTTCTCTGCCCGGGAGCGCCGCACACGTGTGGTTTCGCCCCCTGCGCCAGCCAAGGCGTAGCTGGCAAGCGGCAGAGACAGAGCAGGCCGACCACCAGCTGGCCCAGCCCAAGGGAGGTAAGGCACCCGCCGGAAAAGGGGGAAAAATGGCGGACAAAAAAAATGGTGGACAAAAAAAATGGTGGACAGCCTTGCTTGGCAACCCCCATGAAATGGTCGATTGACCCCAAATGGGGTCCCGACCCACAGGTTGAGAACCACTGGGTTAGGGTTAAGCCACCGCTGCCTTCCCCCCAGGACAGAGTGCTCTGCCGCTGCTCATACCCAGTGGCGAAGGTAGAGTTTGGGAGGCAGTGGCTGGGCATAGTCCAGGTGTGGCCCAGCAGCAAAGATTGTCCTCCCCACTCAAGCGGCCACCAGCGGCTCCTCGGCTCCATCCAACTTGAAGAAAGTGGAGGCGCAGCAGCAGGATTGCTCTCTATAAGGCGAGCGCACACGAGCAAGCAACGCACCCGGCTCTTATTGTGAGCAATCCTACTGCTGCACCTCCACTTTCTTGAACTCGGACGGAGCAGAGGCACTCATGCTGCTGATGGCCGCTTGAGTGGGGATGAGGATAAAAGCAATCAGGCTTTGTACCAGCCAGCCAGCGCGCCAGGCAAGAAGTAGGTCAGGTGATGGTGGCTGGCTGGCTGGGAAGGGGGGATCATGGCCGCTTGGGGGATCTGCCAAGCCTCATGGCAGCGGCATTGGCAGCTCCCCCCAACCGGCCCATTTCCCCGGCTCTGTATAAGATGCTTGACAAAAAACACCCCACTTCCTGCCCCATGCGGCACCTTCTTTCCAGCTCTGACGCGGACCTCCGTCACTTCCGCCGCCATGTGGGACTAAAAAAAAGTTCAATCAATCAATTCCAACTTCGCGAGATCTTTTTTTCCCCCGCAAGAAGTTGAAATTGATTGATTGATTGGGCAGGGTTGGGGGAGATCCAGGCAGTGGTGGGAATGTATCGTTCAGTTCGGCGAACTGGTTGTTAAATGGCATTTGAAAAAATCGGCAGGTCTGGTGGGCGTGCTCTACCACCTCTGCTTGAGTTTGCTAGCTGGCTGTTTTGCCTCTTTTGTGCTGGGCGGGCCAGGCCTGTGAGCAGCGGCAGCAGCAGCCTAGTGGACCTGCGCGAGCTGCTGGCAGCGCCGTCCCGAGGCATGGGGGGAGGGGGAGGCAGGCAGTGCAGATTCCCCATGCATGAGACTGGGATTTTTTCCCCACTATTGGATTTTTGCTACCAGTCTGTTTAAGCTGATGCAGAAAGAGAAGGATATGCATTCTGCATCAAGTAAACTTTTTAAGAAATTAAAGAGTCTGGCAGCGAAAATCCTCCACCTTATGTGGGATCTGGGGTTTTTTCTCCGCAGCGCGGGTGCCCACAGAAATGGCTCTGTGGGCCGCCTCTGGCACGCGTTCATCACCACGGTTCTAGGCTATTGTTTATTTTATTTGACAGACTCTTCCAAAATTTCTGCCCCAAATTTTGATTTCCCAAGCATCCAGCACACCATTATTCTAACCTATTTTATCTTCTGCCTCTTACATTTTATGGCATCCATTAGAACAGTAACTTACCGTATTTTTCGCACCATAAGACGCACCTGACCATAAGACGCACATAGTTTTTAGACGAGGAAAACAAGAAAAAAAATATTCTATCTAAAATGAAGATAACACTGCATATATCCTTTTTTACCTTTAATATATGTATGTGTGTGTGTGTGTGTGTGTGTCTCTGTCTGTCTGTGTCTGTGTCTGTGTGTGTATATATAAAATAAAGGTAAAAAGATATACCGTATGCAGAGTTATCTTCATTTTAGATGTCAAAAGGGTCTCTCTGTCTCTTTCTCTTCTCTTTCTCTTTCCTTTTTTCGTTCTTCTTTTTCTCTCTTTCCTCTCCCCCTTTATCTTTCTCTCTCTTTCCTCTCTTTCCCTCTTTCCTCTTTTTTTCTTTCTCTGTCTCTCTTTCTCTTTCCCTCTTTCCTCTTTCCTTTCTCTTTCCTCTCTCTTTCTCTTCTCTTTCCTCTCTTTTCTCAATCTTTTTTCTCTTTCCTCTTTTTCTCTTTCCTCTCCCCCTTTCTTTCTCTTTCCTCTCTTTCTCTCTTTCCTCTCTCTTTCTCTTCTCTTTCTCTTTCCTTTTCTCTTTCCTCTTTTTCTCTCTGTCCTCTCCCCTTTCTTTCTCTTTCCTCTCTCTTTCCCTCTTTCCTCTCTTTTTCTCTCTTTCTCTGTCTCTCTCTTTCCTCTCTCTCTTTCCTCTTTCCTTTCTCTTTCCTCTCTCTTTCTCTTCTCTTTCCTCTCTCTCTCTCCTCTTTCTCTCTTTCCTCTTTCCTTTCTCTTTCCTCTCTCTTTCTCTTCTCTTTCCTCTCTCTCTTTTCTCAATCTTTTTTCTCTTTCCTCTCCCCCTTTCTTTCTCTCTTTCCTCTCTTTCCTCTTCCCCCTTTCCTCTCCCTTTCTCTCTTTCTCTTTCCTCTCTCTTCTTTCCTCTTTTTCTCTCTTTCCTCTCCCCTTTCTTTCTTTCTTTCTTTCTTTCTCTTTCTTTCTCTTTCTTTCCTCTCTCTTTCCCTCTTTCCTCTCTTTTTCTCTCTTTCCCTCTTTCCTCTCTCTTTCTCTTTCCTCTTTCTCTCTTTCCTCTCTTTCTCTTCCTTTCCTCTTTCTCTCTTTCTCTCCCTCCCTCTCCCTCCAGGTTAGGAGAGAGAGAGAATGAAAGGCAGACAGTGCCGAACGGGCAGGGAAGAGGAGGGGGAGCAGGACGGGAGGCAGTGCCTCCCGCCCGCCACCCCCATCGCCTCCCCAGCCAAACGGGTAGGGAGAGGGAGCAGGACGGGAGGCAGCACCTCCCGCCCGCCGCCCCCATCGCCTCCCCAGCCGAATGGGCGGGCATGGGAAGCAAGATGGGGGCCGCTTCCCTCGCCGCACCCTCAGCCGAATGGCCGGGGAGGGGGAGCAGGACGGGAGGCAGCAGACAGCGCCGAACGGGCAGGGAAGGGGAGGGGGAGCAGGACGGGAGGCCGCCGTCCCCATCGCCTCCCCAGCCGAACGGGCGGGCATGGGGAGCAGGACGGGAGGCAGCGCCTCCCGCCCACTGCCCCCATTGCCTCCCCAGACGAACGGGTGGGGAGGGGTAGCAGGACGGGAGCTGCTGCCCTCGCCGCATCCTCAGCCGAACGGCCGGGGAGGGGGAGCAGGACAGGAGGCAGCAGACAGTGCCGAACGGGCAGGGAAGGGGAGGGGGAGCAGGACGGGAGGCAGCGCCTCCCGCCCGCCGTCCCCATCACCTCCTCAGCCGAACGGGCGGGCATGGGGAGCAGAATGGGAGGCAGCGCCTCCCGCCCGCCGCCCCCATCGCCTCCCCAGCTGAACGGGCGGGCATGGGGAGCAGGATGGGAGGCAGCGCCTCTCGCCCGCCGCCCCCATCGCCTCCCCAGCCGAACGGGCGGGCATGGGGAGCAGGACGAGAGGCAGTGCCTCCCGCCCGCCGCCCCATCGCCTCCCCAGCCGAATGGGTGGGGAGGGGGAGCAGGACGGGAGGCAGCAGCTGCCGCCCCCATCGCCTCCCCAGCTGAACGGGCGGGCATGGGGAGCAGGATGGGAGGCAGCGCCTCCCGGCCGCCGTCCCCATCGCCTCCTTAGCCGAACGGGCGGGGAGGGGGAGCAGGACGGGAGGCAGTGCCTCCCGCCCGCCACCCCCATCGCCTCCCCAGCCAAACTGCCGGGCATGGGGAGCAGGACGGGAGGCAGCGCCTCCCGCCCGCCGCCCCCATCGCCTCCCCAGCCGAATGGGCGGGCATGGGAAGCAGGACGGGAGGCAGCACCTCCCGCCTGCTGCCCCCATCGCCTCCTCAGCCGAACGGGCAGGGAGGGGGAGCAGGACGGGAGGCAGCAGCTCCCGGCCGCCACCCCCATCGCCTCCCCAGCCGAACGGGCGGGGAGGGGGAGCAGGACGGGAGGCAGCGCCTCCCGGCCGCCGTCCCCATCGCCTCCTCAGCCGAACGGGCGGGCATGGGGAGCAGGACGGGAGGCAGCGCCTCCCGCCCGCCGCCCCCATCGCCTCCCCAGCCAAACGGGTGGGGAGGGAGAGCAGGACGGGAGGCAG